TGTCATATTATTACACTTGTAGAGGTGGAAATGATCAGACTGCCACTGCAGTACACTGGGTTATTTCCTACTTTTACGTCTGACCAATGACTATCTGAATACCTGGGTTGTGATAAGAGACATGAATGTGTGGGAGGGCAATGATGAAGAAACAGGAGTTGTGCAAGACCAAAAAAGAGAACTAAATTGTTAAAGGTTGAAACAAATTACCAAATGATTTCCCTTATTTACAGTTCCCTACTCATTCAAGAGATGGGAAATGATATAAGGCACATAATTATCTTCAACTTTGCCATCTTTAACCCTTTCTATGTTTATGGTATAATCCACATAAGGAAGCACGTGGGTAAAAATATCCTGCATTATGTACATTTTGCTAAAGAGATGACATCTTCCCCTTTCTTCAATAGGTTCAAATTTCACAAGAATTCTGTGGTTTTATCTTATGTGGTTATATAGTTTATGTCATCGGGCTTCCTAAAAATTAAGCAATTTTCTAGGAACATGCAGTAACAATGTTACACGCCACCAGCAGCCAATTAAATCTTCACAATAGCTTCATGTATTTTGTAATCTGAAATAGTGAAACATTGAAAAAAGTATTTTTGACAGTGCCCTTCCACCAGTCATGAGGTGACATCATATTGTGTAACCAAAAAAATAATTTCACAGTAGGTTTCTTCAGCTTTATGGAGCATTTTAGCGACTTCCAGCTCTGTTTTTGTTTTATTGCCTGTGACTGTGCCACTTTAGACCTCTTGCAGTACTGTCAAAAACCTGTTTTTTTTTTTATCACAGGGAGGATGATATTATCAAGAAAATAAACACTAATAAAACCACTGCACACAAACTGCTGACAGACAATGTTTGTGACTAGCTTAGGGATCATAAAGAAGCATCTAGCAGCTTAAGAGTTACATTCCCTTGAGGAGCTGGACACAAGCTATTGTTTGTGTCAGTTGCTGTTATTTAACCTGCAGACACTACTTGGGTGCAATTGCTCAGTAAATAAAGGGAAGTTGAAGCTGATAATGAATACTGGACTTAGCATTTCCTTTCTAGTTAACAGTCACCACATGTAAATAATTAGATACGTCAGTGCACCAGTTCTCTTCTGAACAGCAATCAACAAACTATATAGCTTTATTTTTTAAGTGTCTAGTTTTGTCTTGTTTAAGCCAAGAGTTCCAAATATGAAAATGTTCTACGCCAAACATCTTATAAAAAGTCAAATGTTTTTCTTTGACACAATGCATGTAAACATAAACATATTTGGACCTATTTCACCGACACTTGTCTAATACTCAGTATTCAAATCAACTAATGACTCCAGAAAGCTTCCATTTCCTGTAAACGCTATTGACTCAAAAATAAAGGTACAATGGCCATTGGCTTTGTTGACTAAGACTAAACACATAGCACTTACAGAAATGAAGCCTATGCATAAGTTAAATAAGGAAGATCTGTCATCACACATCTCTGCTTCCCTGATTTTTGCAGCTAATCTAAGCTTTACACCATTTCCAGTTTCCCATGCTGTCAAGCTGATTGTGACAACACTGATCAAGTCCAAACATCTTGCAGATGCCTTCATGCAACCAACCTCCTCCCTATTACTCAGCCTCCATTCGAGCCTGTGTCGTCATCTCCACTACCAGCATCTAAACTCCTGGGGGTCCTGCCCTAATCTCTATCACTGCTGGGATTAAATTCTGGTGTGATGGGCCAGCTGAGTCTAACCACTAAATATCTAAAACTGAATTTGTACATCAATAAATCATGTTCATTTCCTTCTAATGATCTTATTGAACTGAGTATTGCTTTTTTAACTTTCACAGTTTAGCACACTTTTAAAGGAATTAAAGAGTCTAGCATTTCTATAACAAAAACAACCGTTAGTGTATAAGTAATGATCTTTACAAAGCCTTTAATAAATTTTCTATCCACCATTACTATTTTAGTATTTGTATTTGACTTTACTGATATGTACTCATGGATGGCACATAGAACACAAGGAGGAGCAACTCAGTGCATTTAAGTATATCAGGACAACCCATTCAAGTTGGGGAAGAACGATGACTTAAGTGAATCTGAACATGCCATGGTTGCTGATGTGAGACAGGTTCTCTAGAGTTTAGAGAGAATGCTTGAAATAAGAAGAAAATATCCAGTGAGTGGCAGTTCTCTGGGTGAAAATGCTTTGTTGATGTCAGAGGTCAGAGGAGACTGGCCAGGCTGCTTCAAGCTAATAGGAAGGCGGCAATAACCACTCATTACAACCAAGGCATGCAGAAGGGCATCTCTGAACTCACAGCAGCAGAAGACCTCACCAGGTGTTTCTCCTGTCAGCTAAGAACAGCCTAATCAAAAGTGAACAATAGAAGACTGGAAAAGTGTTGCCTGTTTTTATGAGCGTCTGATTTCTGTGCTGATCGTAGGGTCAGAATATGCCATAAACAATACAAAAACATGAATCCATACTGCCTTTTCTGGTTCACAGTGCTGCTGCTGCTGCTGGGGGATTTTTTAACACACTTTGGCCCTCTTACTATCAATAGAGCATCATTTAACCGCCATAGCCTACATGTGTATAGTTGCTGACTATGCCCATCTTCTGATGGCTGCTTCCAGCAGGGTAACGAACATTGTCACAAAGGTCAAGTCATCTCAAACTGGTTTCTTGAACATGGTGATGACTTCACTGTACTCAAATGACCTCTATTGTCACCTGATCTCAATCCAAAGACAGCACTTTTGGGATGTGGGAGATTCTCATCACAAACTGGCAGTAACCATGTCATATTATCATGTTAATATGGTCCAAAATCTCCCAGGATCTCGTTGAATCTATACCAGCATTATTTTATAGCAATACACCCACAAATTAAACTAAGGATTCCCACTAATCAGCATAATTAATTACTAAAAATAATGATAAATCTCAGTGACTGCACCAAACTGCACACTGATTTCTAATAGATAGACTCTGTGTCTGAGCTCATCTTGAATGGCTAATTACTTGCCCATTAAGTGTTGAACTGACTGTATTAGCATAAACACCTTGACAAAAAATGTGGCAAAACAGTGAAAAAGGAGCATTTACTTTACAAGGGAATGTCTGAGATGTAGCAAAATTTACTGTTTTTCTCATGATTTTCTCATCACCTAATTTGTTCTTGTTTACTGTAAACTATAGTGAACAGGGTCTCTTTTGCTGAAAGAAGCAGAACAGCTTAGGGATGTGTGGGGAAAAAAGATGAATGGAAATATTTTTTTCAAATGACGTCATTCTTGAAAAAAAGTCATTTTGACCTAATGTTAGCAAAACCTAACAATCATAGAGGAAAACAAAGCCTTAAACTGAACTATTACTATTAGGATTAAAACAAAAATTCCCGTCCTTTAATGCAAAAAAAAAAAGAATTCATATTGGAATTTTTTTCAGTACAATCATGGCATTAATAATACAGAATTATTACATTTACATCAGATACAGTTAAACGTCTAGTCACAGACTCAGCTTCCTCTCAGGCACTGAGCACTGACTTAGCTTTAGCTGTCACCTACAAGTGTGGAAGTTGCGTGCATGTGTGGTACATTCTCACACAATCAGGTTAAGAACAAGCCTAATGTACACCCACTGAGAGGCGACCTGAATCTGGTGTCTGATATGGGAAAAGTTCCAATTTTATTATTGGAAAATGGGTCTCTTACCGAAAATCTTAAACTGTTTTGTCTTAATACCTACTCTGGATTAACACCACTGCAGCAGGACGAGTTCTTTAAAAATAAATAAATAAATAAATGCAGCACTGCTAGGAGTTAAATAAAGCTGTAAAGGCTGACTGACATTCTTTTTTTATTGTTAAAAATAAATATTTTATATCATCCACACTGAACGAGCTCCAGTTCCTCTGTGTCATGACCATTAAAGCCCCGACTCATGTCAGGTGAAAGCGAAATGCCTAGAAAGCCTACATGATACCTTCCTGATTTGCCAAGTAATCCTCAACAGATGAGACACTTGGAGTGTCACACGGGGGCAATAATTACTTTACGGTATAGGTTTACATTAACTAATATGTGAAGCTCTGCTACCGTTTGGTTTAAAAACCTTTGCCAAAAGCAGACAGAAAATTAAACAAAAATTAAGCCAGTTTTCCCCTCTGTGTCTTTAAATCCAACTTGTTAGTAAAAAAGTACTAAATCAGAAGCCCACTGAAACTCAAACACCGGGTCCAAGCGCAGGTTTTCCCCGAAACCTGCTCTCCACTGATGCACAAAGGCACTCCATCACCTCCGAATTGCACTGCTTGGCGCACAGGACATGGAACCTGCAGAATTGCTCAAATGTGTCTTTCAATGCGCATTCACTCTTTACAAGGATTACCATACAGAGCAGGGAAATTTAGCTTTGGTTGCGAATGTTTGTCACCCAACTTCCACATTGAACGCCTATAAAAAGGTGAGAGCATGGCTGTCTGAACGTGCTCTGCATCCGTAATGACTCCTCTATAAATAAGTGGGGCAGGCGGCTAGAGGAGTGGAGAGCGTGGAAGGAGCGTGGATGTGTAGAGCAAATAAAGAAAAAAAAAAGAAATACACCCCATGAAACCATGCTGTCTGTTCACTTTGGCGAAAAAACATTGATAAGCACCTCCCATCGTACTCGGTTCTTTCTAAGCCCAAGCTTCAATCTATGTACATTCCCAAATCACAGTGGAAGAAAGGCGCAGTGTGGAAAGCTCGGTGGGGGAGAATGGGAGTGAGGGAACATCGTTTCCACACTGCATCCAAACCCTTCCGACGCATGGTGCTTTCAGTCTTCAGTCGGAGCTCCACGAGACGAAAGGGTCCGCTTTCCATCCCATTCACTTTACCTCCCTGTGTAAAACTTGCTTTTACCAGACAAAGCCGCAAAATGTATGCAAAGCTGCCCACATCGCTATTAATGTCATTATCCGTAATGAAGCACACCCAGAAAACTGCAGAGTGCCTACCTTTTATTCCCTTGAGTGGCCACGATCCGGAGAAGTCCGTAGTAAAAGCTGCACTGTAGCTCTACTAATAATATTAGTAGAACAAGGAGTAAGAGGAGTAGTAGTAGTAGTAGTAGAGGTAAGCCAGTGGTGGGGAATGGTAATGGAGACGCAGGGAGCTCTTATATGCCAGCCAAGACGGCGTATCCACCGATCGAGACGCACGAAAGGAGGGAAGAGTCTGGATTCCCATGCAGCGCCTGGTTATTTGTTGCTGTTATCTTCGTTTGTTGCCTACTCCTCGTTTCCATGTAGTTCGACCCGGCTGACCTGTATGATCGGATGACCGGAGCGGTGCTTCATTAGCATGCCCGCATTTGTTGGGACAAGGCTCGCAGCAGATCGGACTTCTTCCTCATTCTTCCCTTCCCGTCCCCCCCCCCCCAAGCGCGAGTAAGAGAGCGAGAGTGTATGAGACTGAGAGTGTGCCTGTGTGTGTGTGCGTGTGTGTGTATGTGTGTCAGCGTGTGAGCAGGTCTCTCTTTCGCCTGTTCCCTCACAAACCGACTGAGGATCAGCTCAGCCTCTGTCTCTCTCTCCCTTCTTCTCTCTCTCCCTCCCTCTCTCTCCCTCTCTCTCTCTCAGCATGTGTGTTTATAGGTCCATACACACTGTGTGTTTCTCTCTCGGATACTCTGCCCCCCCTCCGTTACTGGCATATTCGCTTACAGGAATGTCCATTTGAAAATAGTCCAAAAACATGTCACGCTGTTATGATAATCCATGTCTTCATTTTCTTTTTTAAGAGAGGTTTATCATTATTATTGGATCACATGCACAAGAACAAAGTATCATGTAGGTGTAGCAACCAGTTTCTTGACCATTCCCTCCCTGAGGCTTGAAGCTTTTGTCCCCTTATCCCAGGACTCTCCATTTAATCCCCAGCGTCTCCTCATCCCACCTTGCTCAGCCCTTAAAATGTCCTGTGCAAAGATTTTCTTTTATGTTGTAGTTGGAAAAGACAGTGCGTATAGGAGTGTTGCAAGGGGGAGAGGTCATAATGGAAACCAGGGGTGACTTGGACGCAGCTAACAACATCTTTTACAACAGACTAACATTCACATGCAGGAGTCAACTATGAGAACACCGAAAAGCAATTGTTTTAATGTCAGAACTTAGTAGTTACATATGAATGCAAAAGTTTATTTTAATATAGAAAGGTATCTGCCCAAGAAGTGATCCCAAAAGAGGATAGAATCAGTGTCACGTGACACCTTTTAGAAGACCTGCATGGTGAGAAGCCTTGTAGGATGTTGGGCTGTTTGTAAAAGATCCAGGGATGGTTTGCTCAGGCAAAGGAATAACGAGTTACAATAATGAGTCTTTCAATCAGGATGTCTTGATCAGCTGTGCCAAAGGAAGAAGAAATATTCAACTGCACAACAACTGAATACGTGGATTTGAGCTACAAATCAAATATATGAGCAGTGTTGAAACAGTGTTTTGTGAAAGAAAAGACCGCGTTCCAGCAACAGAAACCTCCATAGTGTAGAAACCACAGGACTACAGTTTTTCAAAAGATTAGTCTTCAGTAATAGAGTATCCATTTTTTTTTTGTTGTTTTATACAAGAAAACATGATTTGTTGGCACTCTAAGGCCAGTCATACGCTTTATGAAAACAGTTTGGTCCATCAGTCAGTACACGGTTCTGCACTGCAAACCATTCAATATGATCATCACTTAACTGGAAGGCGGTCAAAGATACCGATTTTAACAACAAGGAAATAAACAGATTCGAGGAATTGACTGCTAATGCACAAAGGTCAGATTCTGCTGTCAGGTAACATGATTCATTTTGTATTTATTCATATGAATCTTTTCATTAGAAGTAGCAGTGATTAAAGGAGTGATTCCCTTTATGATTACTGGTTAATTGGAATTTTACTTTATGCCATTCCCCTACTTTTCCCAGCCATGTGATGGGAAGATGACATCATTTTTCTCTCTGAGTTAGCATCTTATGCAATAATCATAAGGTTGCCGCATACAGCTAATAAGTTGATCCAAAAATCTTGTCTAACCTGTCAGTCCTATCAGATGAAGAAGGCGAGCACAGTATATTAATTTATGTGAAAACAGATAATCCTAATCCAGTTTTAGGTTAAGTGCCCTGTCACAGGGGGGAAATCTGAAGTAAAGCAAAAAATCACCAAGAGTATGTGAATTTAGACATCTAGTACACATCTGCATGTGTAAAAACAAGAATTTATACCTTCAAAAACAGACTTTTGAAGAGAGACCTGAACAAACAAATAAAGGCAACTTGGGTATAACACTTCAAAAGGCAGGATCAGCAACCATGGGGTATAGATTTGGATAGATGCAGACTGCAGCAGACAAAAGGGCTCTGAAAGGGACACTAAAACAAGTGACAGATACTAGCTTGATGGGAAAATATAGAATCAAGCAGTGAAACAGAATAGACAAGCTCTTGCTATGACTAAATCTTTTTCCTTTCTCATTCTGAGAAAGAGAAAGATTCAGACTCAGATAGAGTCAACACGAGAATCGACAACAGAATGGAAGCTGGGAAGTAATTTAAAGAGGAGCAGAAGCAAAGCTAATAGGCCAGAGGGACGTTTTCCCAACTCAGAGGCAGAGGGCAAACCAAGTGTCACAGGTCTTATAAGAGAAACAGCTGGAGAGTCAGGAAGCAGAAAAACAGATAAGGTGGTTTACTGAGGAAGTGAATGGTTGGGTAATGAGGTTAGAGGAGTACAATCGGGAAACAAGAGTTGTCAGATGGGATGAATAATGGGCTGCATGATGAGTGTCAAAGAAATCGCAAAGAAGACTCCTGGATTAACCCATAGGTGGTATTAGGTGAAATCCCTGGAGATGATGAGCCATGAGCCCATAAATTCTGCCTGGTGATGCAGCCAGCTCACCAGCTGATTTACTACAGGCTTGGCAGGGTGATGCTATAGAGCAGAGAAAGGCATGGGTATCTGAAATGAGGTTTTTAAGGTTCGGGAAAGAGGATTTTGTTAACTTTGAAGATCACACTAACAGATGTACTAAATGGAAATTCAAACTGTTCAATTAATCGTTTCAGGTCAGTGCATTTGTTTTTACATTTATTTCTTCCAAATTATTTTTAAAAGGTGTTAATGAGGAAAAGCTGAATAGAATGCCCATAGACTGCATGTGCACCATTGACACAGGAAGGTAAGAGCTTGAGTCTGTTCATTCATAATTCAGAGGTGTTGCAGCCCTGGGTGCCTCCTCAGAGCACAGAAATTCTCACAACTGTCAATCAAACAATCCTGCTAAAATTGCAGGAGCACAGCAAGCATATGCAGGGGACATAGGTTAAATAAAGGTATAGCTTTAAATTGATGGGATATGACACAATTGGAATACAGGTAGAGGGACAACAGTATAAAATTAGCCATTTAGCAGACTGGGATCATTCACAGTTATGCTGATTAACCTGCATTGTCTCTGAGGCAAAAAGCTCAAGGCAAAAAACATTACTCCACTATCTCCAACTCCTTACAAACAGTAGCAACCTGAAAAACATAATGTGTTGCAGAAAGAAAGGGAGAAATATGCTGTGAAATGTGCAATAGGCAGTGTGGTTGCAAACGGAATGCAGCCGTTTAGCACATTTCACTCAGACCGGTTTGTGACAAACTATTCCTATGGGCATAAATGCCACTATAGGCATATGAGCAAGAAAAATGAATGTGGTCCTTAGTTTAACTTCATGTCCCACTAATCTCAAGTAGAAAGGAGAAATTAGAAATACATTTAAAGTCTAAATACATGGTTACTGCTACAATAATTTCATGCATGCAAACTCTGGCTCGGTGTCTCTTTTATAACTGCTCTGCTTATCATACTCTGTTGAATCATGTAGAATATGATCTGCTATACTTTGTTGATTTACAACAACAGGATCAATAACATTAATATCAGAGAAATTCAAAAGATACCTTTGAATATAGTTGTTGACCTTTTTGTACCACTAAAATAAAAATATATGTATACAATTCTAAACTGTTAAAATGAATTGCCAAATTCTTCAAATAAGTACTTCCTATTTAGCCACAATCTACTTTCTTATGGAGAAATTATGACTCATCAGTAGGGATGGGTACCAGTATCCGGTGCCATTATAGCACCGGTTCTGACATAAACAGTAGTAGCCAGACCGAAAAGCAGCGCACATTTCGGTGCTTTTTTTTCCTGAGATGTCATACACTTTAGATTCTAGCCAATCATTTTACCTTTCCAAGGATAGTAGGCGGGCCCAGGTACGTACGTTCTTTTAGAGCAGAGCTACAGATTAAAAATGCCCAAGGCGAAGCGGTCAAAGTCTGGCTGTATTTCACAGCAAAAGATGCAAACTCAGCAGCCTGCAATAAGTGCTTTAAGCTGATACTGTGCAAAGGAGGTAACACCTCAAATCTGATGAAACACCTGGCGACGCATAGCGTTTTTTTAAAAGCCGAGAAATGCACCGTATTTGATAGCTTGCTGCGAGACCTCACACCGAGCACATCTACTGCGGGTGGGTTGCCTGTTATCGGACCCGAAGTTAGCAACATCCCCCAAAAACCCGAAGAGGAGAGTCCTGGCCCCTAGCCCTGCCAGTGTAGCAGAAATGATGATGGATGATGATGATGACAGCAGCAGCCGTTCTTCTCTGCGTGAGTAGCTTAATGTTGTTCATGTGTAAGCTAACCACGTTATTAAATTAATGCATGTAAGGTGAACTAGCAAACACCGTCGTAGTTACATGTGGCTGTCTTCTTGTTTGATGGCAGATACTCCCTTCACCCTGGCCAAAAAGGCTAAAATGACCAGAGAAAAAGTGGGAAACAGCTAAACATGAGAGGTTTTTGGACAAAGTTTGTGTTTTTTCCATTGATTAAGCACTGCTTCCAGCCAAGAGTGATGCCATAAATCCTCTATAGCTGCAGAAAAGGCTAACATTGTTATCTTTTTACAAAAAAACAGCTAAACATGAGAGGTTTTTGGACAAAGTTTGTGTTCTTCATTCTTTAAGCACCGGTTCGAGCACCGTTTAAGCACCGGCACCGATTCAAAAGTACCGATTTGGTACTGGTATCGGATAAAACCTAAACGAAACCCATCCCTACTCATCAGCAGTAGCGTGTTGGTAATCCATGAGAAGCCTTGGAGTTTCCTAAACTGAGGAAGTTAAGCATTAATGTTGCAAAAATGTGCATATGCTATACAACTCCACAAATGTTAGCGAGAGTATGTTGAAAAAAAAAGAAAAGTTTCATCCATAAATGTAACTTTTGCACTTTTGTCTCTGCCCTTTCTGCAGAATGTTCAATTGAGACTGATGCCATCTGGTTTTTTAAAAGTTTTAGCTCAAATGTTAATCCTGAATGTTTAGTTTAATGTTTTCCTGCCACAAAGTTGCACAGTAAAGTGTCCATTAAGCAGCAAACATCCACTGAGACTGAAAAATTAAGCCAAAGTGGAAGTGCCACTTGGGGCTGCTCCAAATGCAAATAAATATCCACAGAATCACAGTTTAAAGTTTTGGAGCAGAAATGCACACGTTTT